TTCTTCCCAAATGCCAGGTAGCTGAGAGATATTTTTTCCTTGTTGGAGACACTTGTCTGTAGCTTTGCTGTTGTTGTTTTAGCACCTGAGGTGCCACAAGGCACTTCAAGGGGCTCTCATTTCAACTCCTGCTTTGTCTTGGAGAAATCCAGTATATCTCCAAAGGATCCAGCTCCAGATTCGGGACTTGTCCAAAGCTGCCGCACACCCCAAGGAAAGAATAAAAGGACATTATGTCCTACAAATGGAGCTGGTGTTTCACCTGACAACTATTGTGCCATTGTTATAGTAAGGATTAATGGGATGATAAAAGCATGTCCAGAGCCATAAGAATGTTAGAAACAATAATTATTAAGTCTGCGTATCAATACATTCCAGATATGTAAATAAACAGAAGGGAGGAGATCCTTGGGAAGGAGGCCTTCAAGTGACCTCTGTGGTTCAGTCAACAGGCTTCCTGCCAAAGTACTACTAAAATTCAGCAGAATTTTACAGTGTTCAGAGGAGGAGGAGGAGAAATGGCAGAAATCAGTCATGCTTGAAAGAAGCTCGGGGGAAACTATACAACCAAACTAGAAATTTTCGTTCCCCAAATGTTCAGAAAATGGCTGAAAATCCAGGAGACTACCATGAAAGTGTATAGAGAAATAATTCTTTTTTCTTGTCCCATGGGAATGGTGTGTGTGTGTGTGTGTGTGTGTGTGTGTGTGTGTGTGAGCATCACATGGAATAGAACTAAACACAGGCTAAAAGTAAGATGTCAGATGTTACAAACAAAATTATCAGCTCCCTGCCCAGTTAGATTTTGTGTAAAACTTAGGAAGTCTATAATCATAAGAAGCATTCTGGTGTCAATGACAGTGGACAGCAGTTCCCAACCGATGTTTATGGAAGACCCAGTGTTCATTATTTGTTATTCATGAACAATACCAGTATGTTTTCAGACCCAGCTTATTTTTATGATTGTAAGTTGTTTTTTATTGTTTTTGATATTGTGTTTTAATACTGTAACGTACCCTTTGACCTTAGGGTAATAAAATAAAATAAAATAAAATAAAATAAAATATAGGTCAGATAAACCTTGATGTCAAAGAAGATACATAGGATGAGTAATATTGGCTCTGATATTGATCTACTCACACTGAGCAGATACAACCTACTGGATGAAGAGTTCCTAGAACAAGGCTGATTGCACAATCGTAAGCTGGTTTGCAGGTAGCATGTCTTCCTCAGTGGGAAATCTATATTTTTCAGATAGCTGGGCAAACTTAAGGCGGACAGCTTCTTTTTAGATAGCTGGAGAGATTATCTTCCAAAATCTAATACTGAAACACAGCTGGTACATGACCCCCTCAAAAACTCTCCTATAATAAGAATAAAGGCTCTAATTGTGGGGTGTCAACTACCCATGTGGAGTAACTGATAAAAGAACTGGATGGACCCCCAGATCCAAAGCACAGGGATAAACACACTCCTCAGCAAGCAGAGTTTTAAAAGTCACAAAAGCAAGCAGCAGTTTAGTGTGGGGTTGAGGCTTTTAAATCTTTTGATATCCCATTTAGTCTGCTACCAGAGCTTCCCCATTTCTACCCATCTTAGCACTGAACAGACTACACACCGTAGTAAGTTTTAAAATGCTTTACTTACAAAGTTCTAAAGGTCAGGTTCATACATTTATCTATGCAACAGCAAGTAAACATAGGCAGAAATATTGGGATACAAAATAGATTGAAATAGCTCTAAGCATGCAGTTCAAGCTTGTAGCGAACAACTTCAGGCACACCTTATCTTGGTGAGTTCACATGGTGAAAGAGAATGAAGAAAGGAGGAAACTTAACTTCCTTTCACATGCGGGGCATGACCTAGCTGAGCCTAGGAATACAATTCTATGATCATGCATTACACTTGCTAGTTATATTCGACTGCAATTTCTCACGCTAATTTGTGCGGAAGAGGCTGTGGTGTCACAGGTATATGTGGCACATGTGGCCAACATGTCCAAAAATACAGGAATTTTGGACAATGGTGTTCAAAAGTTACAATGAATAGTATATCAAATAATTCTACCTAATCTACAGTTCACTCTCCTTTATTCACTCTCCTTATTTATTGGAGAACCTGTTAACTGCTTGCAAGGGCAATGATATTGTGGACATGGACAGCGGTGTAGCTAGCCGCTCGGGCCTTGTAGGGCAGCTGAGGGGGAAGTGGCAGGCAGACGCAAGCCCCACACTGCCATTTTAGACAGCGCAGGGCCTGCAGGCGCCCTAGCCACTGCGTCACACCCAGGAGAGACACATGGCTCGGGCACACTGCATGCCCCACGGTAAATGCTGCCCCCGTGGTGTGATGCCCAGTGCACCCCCCCCAGCTATGCCTCTGGACATGGAATAACACGGAGGGGCTTAGTAAAGATATATAGTACACCCAAATTTGGCAGGTGGCCTTGTTGTCAAAATTGATGGAGGAGCAAAATTGGAAACAGATCAAAAGACAATGGACACTTTTACCCCAATTTGGTATGATTTTATGGTTCATACAAATCAACAAGTTGCCAAATTCCCACCCCTGGCATTTATTCATTTATGACTGGCATAGATAGATAGGATAGGATCAAAGGATGGAGTTTCTAGGAAGGCTGTCAAAGGAAAGGCAAAGGAAAAGGATCAGAGATCAGTTAAATAAAAAATAAGGTTAACATACAAAAAACCTTTACTTTATATAGGTTTTAAAAAAAAATTTTTTTTAGGTTTTCAAAACCAGCAGACGTAAGACTAGTTGCTTAGTTCCTTAATTCGTAATCCACCTTAATGCACACATACACATAAAACAAGTATCATGAACAAAATTAGAAATTGACAATGCATAGATATTTACTTTATGATTTGAACTTTGAACTTGAACCCACTTAGCATCTTAGGAGTTGCATTTGTTGGTTTTTTCTTTCCTTTCTTTAATTATTTCATTTTTGTTTGTTTTTATTTCTTTTTATTTCTTACAAGGTGAGGCATATAAAGGGCCCGATTGCTGCAGGCTGAATTTATTGACAGCATTTGACCCACTTGGAGTATGTTGCATACACTACTTTGAAAAAAGAGAAACAGCTATCTGAATCAAGGTTAATTGAAGGAAATTTTGCTGACATTCAGATGATCCCAAAATCAGTGTGGTATGGAGGCACCGTGGGAGATGGCTGGATCATGTGGCACCAGCCACATGATCTCCAATAATAATAAAGAAGCCAAAAGAACTACAATAATAATAATAATAATAATAATAATAATAATAATAATAAAGTATATTATTTATATCATACTTTAAATGTAGTGTACACAAAAATAGGGGAGGAGATACTTGGGAGAAAAACGGCCTTCAAACGATCCCTGCGATTCAGCAATAGCGTTTCCAAAGTACATGCTTTGCCTATTTAATGGAATCCAAAGGTCAGCTAGTCCAACCCCTTCAGTGGCAGGAGGGTCCCCAGTTGAACCCAGTGCCATCTCCATTAAAAGGCTTTCAGGCATCTGGTCTGGAGAGGGTCCTCCTCTGCTGGATCAAAAATAGATATCACTGGGCTACTTGGGCCAATGGCCAGATTTAGTAAAAAGCACATTCATATGTGCCAGAGGCCTAATTCAAGTGACTGAGGGCCCCATTAACTACAAACCCCCAAATTTGGGGTCCTCTCCAAACTGGTGCCGAAGTTTTGCAGTTGTTTTGCAGCATTTTGCAGCGGAAACCCTGCGTTTTGCCGCGCCCAACAAACTGAGCAATTGCTACTTCAACGCAGGGGAATCCCAAATGTTGGGGTTCGTAGTTAATATTAAATACAAACCCTGTGTTTGTTGCTCAGTTTGTGAGGTTCGTAATAATAAATTTTACTATGACAGAGTGAGCAAAGCTCTGTAAACTACTGAAAGCTCCTGCCAGGTTCAGCCTGAGATGCTATCTTAGACTGTATTCAATTCCTGATCCATCTAGCCTAGTATTTACTCTGAACAGAAGCAGCCAGGAAGTCGCATGTTACTTGGAACTCTCAGGTCTGTTAATCCTTTTTAATTAAACATGCCTAAGCTACTTCGCATGATTGTTTTGAAGATAAAGGGAGGGGAGAAGAATGTATGGCCACAAGCCTCTTAGAGGAAAGACCAGTAAAAACATGGTAAATAAATAATAAATTTAAAACAACCTCTCCCTATGGTAGACAAATCAAACTGCCCTATACGGAGACAGACCACCTGTCCATCGAACTCACTGCTGCGACTGTAACAGTTTTCCAGAGGCCCTTTCTCTATCCTGCGTTATAGGAAAATGTGGGGTTGGCTTTTGCAACCAAAAGTGAAGTTGAAGCTTCATGCCTGACTGTTAATCTCACAGCAAAACCGCAACATAGGATAAAGCTTGCGTGTGCTGTCAACCAGAAAAGGGTGGGGGCTCCTCATTGTTCAACCGCTTCACAACATTCCTACTTCTTACAATGATTTCAAAACATTTTTTTAAATACACAGGCTTTAGCAGGCTTGGGGGAGACTGGGCTATTTTGCACATGCCTACTTATGAATTAGGGACGCGGGTGGCGCTGTGGGTTAAACCACAGAGCCTAGGACTTGCCGATCAGAAGGTCGGCGGTTCAAATCCCCTTGACGGGGTGAGCTCCCGTTGCTCAGTCCCTGCTCCTGCCCACCTAGCAGTTCGAAAGCATGTAATGTGCAAGTAGATAAATAGGTACCGCTCCGGCGGGAAGGTAAACAGCATTTCCATGCACTGCTCTGGTTCACCAGAAGCGGCTTAGTCATGTTGGCCACATGACCCGGAAGCTGTTCGCCGGCTCCCTCGGCCAATAAAGCGAGATGAGCGCCGCAACCCCAGAGTCGGCCCCGACTGGACCTAATGGTCAGGGGTCCCTTTACCTTTACCTTTACTTTTGCCTTTGCCTATGGAATTACTGATAAATAGCATTCAAACAAAAATAAGTTGTGCATTTAGTGCTGCGGGCTCAAACCTGAGGGATAGCTCATTTGGTAGAACATGAGAATCTTAATCTCAGGGCTGTGGCTTTGAGCTCCATCTTGGGTGGAAATTCCTGCATTGCAGAGGGGATGAGAACATCCTCGTGGTCCTTTCCAACTCTTCTGTGATTTTGTACAGGCACATACATTTATCCGATGAAAATAGGGGTGTCCTATTCAATAATAGTAATAGTAGTAGTAATAATAATAATAATAATATTTCTACCCTGCTCATCTGACTGGGTTGCCCCAGCCACTTTGGGAGATTTCCAACATATATCAAAACATAATAAAACATTTAAAAAAACCAAACTTCCCAAACAGGGCTGCCTTCAGATGTATTCTAAAGGGTTGTATAAGTAGTTTCTACAATGTGTTGAGGCTGCATTTTAAATTGCATTTTAAACTGCATTTTAAATTAGTTTTTTTCCTATTATGTTTTTACTGTAATTTTATTGGTGTTAGCCGCCGTGAGCCCAACTCTGGCAGGGGAGGGCGGGGTATAAATAAAATTTATTATTATTATTTTTTATAAAAATAAAGGTTGTATAAGTACAATGGTACCTCCGGTTGGGACTGTATCCGTTCTGGAGGTCCGGTCGGATCCCAAGGTTTCCGCAACCTGAGGATTGCTTCTGCGCATGCGCATGGGGTGAAACCCAGTAAAATACTTCCAGGTTTGCCGCACGCGCATCCCGAAGGGTTACGTAAACGGAGGTACGACTGTGCTTCTCTCCTTGGCTTGGGGGTCACATCACTCCCTACCCGCCAGCATTTCTCCTGGGAAAACAGAGACGCCCTAAGGAAAAGCGGGACATTCCAGGACCAAATCAGAAACTGGGACGGCTTCTGTAAATCCGGGACTGTCGCTGGAAAATAGGGACATTTGGAGGGTCTGGAGGCACCTTCCTGGCTGAATGTCATGAAAGGCATGGCAGACTTTCCTTCTTTCTTTCTTTTTTGAGTTTTACTTATTTATTAACATTCTTATGTTACATTGGTAAACATTTATTATCTTACATCACAAGGCTTATTATAATATAATTTTCATCATGTATACAAAGTTTATATACCAAGTTTATGTACCCAAAGGGAAAAAAAGGACAAAAAACTATTCCAAAATCATATATGTACCAACACTTTGGACTTCCTGTCTATCCCGTTGTATATTCCTTTTTTACAAATGAATGTACTCTTATTATTGTATATTTCTTTACATTTTATCTAATACATTCCTATATCAATATGTACCCTTGGTCTTATTTCTCAAATCAATCTCTCTCCAACATCAATCGAATGCTAGCATAGATGGCAGACTTTCTTATTCCAGCAGGCACTTTAAAGCAGTGTTTGGGTTTCTGCTTGGGTTTATTATTATTTTTATTGTTTTAGCGGTAAAGGTAAAGGACCCCGGGACGGTTAAGTGCAGCCGAATATAGTTTTTATGTCTACACACCCTGTTCACCTCTGTGGCTTGTGAGTGGCACCTCATTTGTTTGTCCCTTGAGAGCCTTTCAGTCATCACTTGCTGTATCATGACGTAAGTCAAAAACAAACATCTTTTTTCTCTCGTTGTCTTTCCAAACTATGTTTGTTTATATATTTTTTTATTGAAAGGTTTTCATGGACAGCAAAGGTACATACAACATCTCTGTTCTCAATTCATAGAGTCTTTCCTACACATCAGTTACATTTAAACAACAATCCACCTGATTAATCTCTGCTAGGCCACAAGGTTGTTGAGACACCAGCCCTGAAATACATTTATTTCAGCACAACAGCAGCATTTCAGAGCTACCCTTTAAATAATGTGTTACTGGCAAAAACAAAAACTACAAGAAAATGTAGAAAAGGTCCTGGATGCCAAAAGAAATACATTTGTCAAGGGGAAATTAAAATGAACGGGAAAGAGGAAAAAACGATGGAAATAAACTGGAACTGAAAATGAGGGAGACAAATGTAGTTAGGCTAGAGAGAAATTAATGGCAGGGAGGATATGAAAAGAAGTAGATTGGACCAGAAAATATACTGAAGAACTTGGAGCTGACCTCTGCTTTGTCATCTTCTGGCTCAGCCAGCATTTTATTTGCATCAGCATCCCAGCCACACACAGAGCCCAAGGGCAAGAGCAGCCCCCGTTCTGCGTCCACCACCACCAGCATATTACCAAGAAAGGAATCCCATCACTACTTTAGGCATTTCTCTGAGCACCTGTTTACCGCTGGTGATGGAATATTTAGCTGAGGGCAGAAAAGAAAGCAGCATGCCCTAGTTGGCATCCATGAAGACAGACCAGGGGTGTGTTCTCTCCTCTATGCTGCAAGCCTGGTGCCTCCAGAATGTGCCCATGTCAGTTCCTCATGCAGTTTTGCCTTGCGTCACACTTACGGATCAGCATTCCAGAGCTCTGGAGAGGGAAAGCCCCATGCGGGAATACTACTCAGCATCCATTAAGGGGAGCTACTGCCACCCAGCTAGGAAAAACCCTTCACATCCCACACAACTTTCAGCTCCTCACCCAGGGTGACAAAACAAAAGTTCCCTTGTGCTATTAACCCCTCCCTTTTCCTAGTAAAAAACCTCCTCCCTCACTTGAGTATAAAATAGGAATTCCCAGTTAGAGCTGCTGGTTAAGGTTGTTTGGTTTTTATTTTGTTTGTCATTCTTCACCTAATCCTGCACTGGAAGCCACTGGAAGCTGCCCAGAGACTGGTTGGGGAAACCCAGCCAGATGGGCGGGATATGAATAATAAAATTATCGTTGCTGTTGCAAACAGCGTTCAATAACCTTTACAGGTTTGGAACTGACATCTACCGATGTCCACTTCAGTTTTATTGCTGACCTACGACTGACTCCCGCTCCTGATACTCAGCCTTTAAATAGGAAGTGAATCAGATTTGTCCCCTATCCCCACTCTTGACATAAATGTCGTATGGGCCAAATAAAATGAAAAACTAAAATATGGCACTCCCCCAAAACAGATACTTAGACTTTTCAGAAGACTGTTCCTGAAAATACTCCACAAAAGGAGAAATACAGTGGTACCTCAGGTTACATACGCTTCAGGTTACAGACTCCGCTAACCCAGAAATAGTGCTTCAGGCTAAGAACTTTGCTTCAGGATAAGAACAGAAATTGTGCTCCGGCGGCGCAGCAGCAGCAGGAGGCCCCATTAGCTAAAGTGGTGCTTCAGGTTAAGAACAGTTTCAGGTTAAGAGCAGACCTCTGGAACGAATTAAGTACTTAACCTGAGGTACCACTGTAAAATGAATGAGTAGGAAAATTAATTAGAAATAACCACTGTGGAACTTTCGGTTTGGCTCACCATGGCGGGGGCTGATTATAACATCGGAGCCGTTTTGCACAGAATGTTTTGAGGATGAGATGGGAGTAATCATTCTCCCAACCAACCCCCCAGGGCCAGGGGGGCAGCTTCACCCACAGATTGCCCAACACCAGCCCCCAATCCAGAAATGAACGAGGGGGCTGGGGGTCCTGGGTGGAAAGCACCATGCGTCTCTTTGGCAACTCTCCAAAGTCGCCGCCATGAGAGAACGAACTCCCATTTTTTAAGATGAAAATTCGGATTTAATTAGTGGGCATACTCTGAGTGGTCTCTAAGGTGCTACTGGACAACTTTTTTATTTTTTATATATATTTCAACTGCGTCAGACCAACACAGCTGAATTAATAAATATTATTTTTTTAAAAAAGAAGGAACCACAGTGACTAGTCTGTTATTATGAGCAAATGAAATTACAATCTAAACTGAACAGCAGAGGAGGAAAAAACATATTGATAGTACACTATAGGTATGTTCACATGAGCAGTTTGTAACAGAGTGGGTTTATCCCGGCTGCATTTCAAGCTGCATTTGCACAGTGTTGTTCCCATCAGAGAGGGGGCAGGGATGTCTTCATCTGATGCTCATTAAAATAAATGTTTCCCTGCTTTCAACCCTTCCACTGAATTCCTATTCATGAAGCTGTGGTCTGCACACGCGAGCTCGTGTGTGAATGCGCAATGTCTGGCTTAGGTCACCTAGTCAAATAATGATTGCAAATGTTTTGAGGCAAAAATGCATAGGGCAGTATACAAATTTAAGAAATATGTTTTCTAAAAATCTACACCAAAAAGTGTTTGGTATCCTTCCCCAAAGGCAGGTGGCCCTTGTGGATGGTATGCAGGGAAGCAGGGCAGTCCACTCAGTTTTGAGTCCTTCGTTGCCTCCCTCTCCCTCTATCTCTTTTCCCTGGAATTCTCCCCTCAGGGCAGCTGGTGGTAGAGGATGGTGGAGGCAGCATTATACAGACACGCCTGAGGGATACATCTAAAGAAACTGGCACAGCAGCTGTCCTTAGGTCCAACATATTGCTAAGAGCATTTCCATGTCCTGTTTTCCCTCATTCCTAACTGAGTCAACTTTTCCTTATCGCAACCTTGTAATTGGCCCACTGGGCATGTTTCTTCAAACAGTCTTTACATGCAAGTAGTTCGTGATCTTTGTTTGCACAGGATCAGGGCTATCCTGAGTGAGAGAAAAGTCTTTTTGTTCCACTCTGTTGGCTCCTAGAATTTTTAAGGCCCTCTTGTAGCTTGGGGGCTATGCCTGCCTGCAGGCTTTTTTGTGTGTAACAGTAGCCACAGTGCCAGAAACCTTTGTGCATGCTTTAGTACCACATTTATGAAACATTGGCCCTGAGCCACATAATGGAATGCCAATCACCTGCTAGCAAAATACATCCTTTGTCCCCTGAGCTTATCATTACTGTCCAATAGCCCTTTTTCACAACATGTAACCATCTGCTCTTTATCTGTGTGCATTAGAGATGAGTTCGAAAGCTCGCCAAAAAAGTTCAAGCAGATAAAAGGTACCTCTCCGGTGGGAAGGTAAACGGCATTTCCGTGTGCTGCTCTGGTTTTGCCAGAAGCTGGCCACATGACCCAGAAAAACTGTCTGTGGACAAACGCCGGACAAACGCCGGCTCCCTCAGCCAGTAAAGCGAGATGAGCGCCGCAACCCCAGAGTCGTTCGCGACTGGACTTAACTGTCAGGGGTCCTTTAT